ATCATTGATTCTGATCGGCTCTATTTTCATTTTTGAATTTCTTTTTAATAACACCCTGTCTTACGATCCGCAAAATATAAATCAAGGATGTGATTTTAGTAATTCAGGACTGCGTAATGAGTGAGATAAAACATACCAGAACTCTGGAGAAAGTTCATAAGTATAGTAATGCAAAATATTGCTCTTGGTCAGGATTATTAATAGATTCTCTAAAATAATGACTATGGATACTGGTGACATATTACTACATGCTATCTAAGCCACCCACGTAATTTGAAAAAAAAAGAAATAGATAATCCAGTAATTCAGTCTATGCGAGTATCCTAGACAGTTACCGGAGAGATAATAGGACTCATCATTGGTAAGACTTTCCTTTCATATCTTCCATTATGATAATAATAACCTCTATTACGTTCACCATATTCATTATATCTACCATATCCATTATATCTATCATCATCTAAATCGTCCTTCGGGCTCACGCGTTCTGGCATCTCTTTTTCAGAATCAGAATTGAAGACATTATTACATGAATTGAAGTCACCATCGTCCGCATGAAAAAATATGTATACATATTTTTCACAATAGGAATTATTCAAATTCAAATGTTATATTTGCAAATGTAAAGACTCAATTTATTAATAAAAAATAAATACAAATCATTTGTTTTTGCAACTCTTTTACCAATAATACATAACGAAACATCTATATGTTAATTATTGCAATCTATTTTTAAATTCTTTATATCTCTCTTTAATACTTTTCGTAACCTTCCCATTATGTATAACATCAATATTTTCATCAGGAAGACTATAATATTTAGGTCTATACTGTTTATCTAAGTTGAATTTATTAAGTAACCAAATTTCAAGCAATACTAATGAGGTAATTATTTTTCGTTCTTCATCATAACCAATGAGGGCAACGGTACATATTCCATTATCAATCCCAATTACCCTACATCTAATTAACAGATTTAGAAGCCTTCGCTTGGTTATGATGATTATAATTTTTATCTATACGTAACTCGTCACCTACTTTAATAACTCCCAATTTACAGATTTCCTCAAGATAATAATCCATCTTCACACCTATTTGTAAACCACATAAACCACATAAACCATAATAATCATGCTAAAAAGTATAAAGATATCTCAATAATGGATAATTATTTGCATTATCGATGCTAGCCACACCTAAATCAAAATAAAAGCTATTAATCTGAAAGAACGAATTTTAAAGGCTTAATTATTTGTCTTTTTCATACATATTTTGAATTATATTAGCCAAACCTTAGATCTTATTTTCTAATCCTTGAATCTTATTTTCTAATCCTTGAATCTTGTTATCTATTTCTTTAACCTGTTTCGTCAAAGTAGGTGGAATAATTACCGAATCAGGATTTTCCATAAAGACTTGAATATATTCATTGCAAGCTTTCCCAATAGACGTTATTCTTTGACCACCTTCTAATTTCTCACCACTTTCTATTTCAACTGAAGGGTTTCTCAGTTTATTATATTCATTAACAGGAATGAACACTTTCCATATTTTGAATGTCTCAGCATTTTCACGAATAATTCCTCTTCTCCTGGACAAAATACCTTCTTTGAGATGATTAATCGTATCAGTTTCATCAACCATAATAAGAAACGGCTCTTCCACTCTCTGAAGGAAACACAAGAAAGTAATCCCAAACATTTTTTGATATTTAGACGCTAGATGTTACCTATGGGTAACGATTTAATTTAAAGCCAATGTATACTCATTTTGATAAAATAGGGAAAATGAAATCCCTTTAGTTATAGCATCGTCTTTATCATATGAAATCATAGTTGTGTGGTTACAAAATACATACGCCTGCGTAATATATAATTATGATAATTGCAGACTAATTATATGATGACGTAACTGCGTATGGAATATACTGTAAATTCACATAAGTCAGTGAGACGTCACCCTCACGTGATTTTGAAAGAAAATATCTCTTAGAAAATGATTATTTGTTCACGAGTTTTAGGACCTTTATTTTCGGCATCATTAAGCAAATCTACTACTCTTTCCGTAATTGTCACTTGGTGTAATGTCACAACTGATCCACGACTTAACTATCCTTTTTTACCTTTCCCCATTTGAATGATGAAGTCGGCTATGCGATTATCAATTTTATTTTTATAATATTCTGCTTGTTCATCTTGAATGGATGCATTACGAAATGCCTTCATACTAAAGAGTTCTCTCATTAAGGCGTAATATGCTTTTTCTCGTGGATTATCGTATTGGTTTTTAAGCTTAATCGAAAGATTAATAAAGTTATCAACCCAAGGCATACTTTTTCAATTATATGATAATACTTCGTGAACTTCATTGACTATTAGACCTTGACGCACAAGTTTTTATAATTCTGTATCTGTTACTGTAAGGCTTCTGGACTGGATCTCATTGGCTGATGGTGTGGATTGAATATGTTTTTTATTCTTTTTACGAACCATACTCTTGACTTTATAAGAGTGAATTCAATATTATAGAACATGTGACATAATTACTGCGGAGAAGAATAAATGACGTTTTACTATACATGATATCTAAGCCATCCACGTGATTTGAAAAAATAGTGTGAATATATTGCCAATCTTTCATCACACAACCCCTATTTTCGGCAAGAATTTTACTGAATCTCTTCTGCGCATTTCAGGTGATCGGTCTTACATGACAGAGTTTTTATGCTACAATCGTGATTTTGAATTTATTGCTTGAAGTGAAGCAAGTAAGACAATATTCTGTTCTATTTTTATACCATTTGCCATGTAATCCATAATTCCCATGTTTTCCATCGCAAATAGGACATGGTGAGCTCCACGGCTGAGGTGATGTAAAATTATAGTTATCAATTCCTTTGAAACTATTTCCGAATTTCAAGTATGGGAAGTGCTTTAAGATGGATTTGATAATTAATTCATGATCAGGTCTAGCTTCAAAAGTGATGAACCCTTTTTCTTGACATTGTTTACCGAAGGAAAGAAAAGATAAATTGGATACTTTATTTTCTGGCGAATTTATGACTTCCGATTTATGTACTTCTGATAGTTGCCATAGCTCAAGTCCCATTTCTCTTTTATATTTTTTGTATAAGTTGGAACAGATCTTATCCGTCAAAACTCTTGGTAAACCAGTTAATTTGACATGCCAATCCAGATACTCAGGGGTTAATACTTTATTAGACTTGCTCATATTGCCTTTTATATGATTGTGAATCAATTTAAATTAGGTATAGTCGACATAATTAGTCCTAAAAAAATATCACACAATGAAGCGTGAGCAAATAGAATATATTATAAAATAATGAGACTATGCAGTTATCTCAATTTCGCGCTGTTCACATTTAATAAAGTAAGATCCAGATTTATATATACCTTCTATACTTTCCTCGTCATCATGATCTAAACTGCATACAGTCAACTTTTGTTATAACGAACTCTATGTCCTAGACCTCAACTTCACTATAAGGCTATAGTGAAGATTTTAAGAGATTTTATTGGCCAATTTGCTATAACAAGAGTATTTTTATTATATTAGTTCAAAAAATTCGTTATATCAAGAGTTCGCTATATCAAGAGTTGACTGTAATAGGCATGATGTCTCGTCAGTAATGCCATAATAATCGAAATTTTCACTACTAAATTCTCTATATAAAGTAGGATATTGATCCAATGTTTTGTTGCGAAAATAGGCTCGGTCATAAGTTGGATTAGAATGAGATCCAGATAATACATTTGCCGATATACTTACTTCAGCTTTCAGAGGGATAAATGCATTAGTCTGATTACCATTAGTAGTTTCTCCGATTTTTTCTGATTTTCTTGAAGTGCTCTGATCGTGACATTTTGTCACAGTTTTTGAAGTCACCTGATTTATAATATATTGAATTTGAGTATCTTTTAACCCTGAGATAGTACTTGCGCTATATGTAATATATTTGATCCTGTTTATACCTACACCTTCTTCACCAAAGAGCTTAAGGATTTTTCGGGCTCTTTCAGTTTTCTTACGCAGATTCACATTGGTAATATTAGGTAGAAAAGGTTTCATTTCCTTATATATTTTCGATCTTGCTGTTTTATCTTTAGTCTTTCCATCCGCTGTAAGGTTTCTGACCTTATTTTCAAATTCAAGAGAATAATAAAACCGGCATAGAATTTGCTTCTGACCTGATTTTATTGCTTTATCAAATAATTCTGATAAACTTTGTGTGGAACCTGGAATCATATCCTGTATACAAGGCTTACTAATTTCAGAAATGTTTACCTCGCCTTCATTCAAAGATTCATTGCCAGATGCAAAGCTGAATTCAGAGGTCAGCTCCTGCACCAAACCCTCTACTATTTGATTTTCCGATTCAAGTATATCATCATTAGGGTCATCAAGAACACTATTCTGATCATGACATTTTGTCACGGTTTCTGAATGACTTTTTGTAAGCTCAGAATTATTGATGGAATTATTATGTCCGGGATTTTCCTGAGATATATTTGGAATATTTTTCTGCTGTTGACCGCTAGTGATTATTTCTGTATCACATGACAAACTAGAAATAACATTTTGATTAACCGATTCATGTAAAAGTTTCTTCTCCTTATTGCGTTGCTTAATCTCATCATTAACTTTTTTCTTATATTCTGATTCCAAGAAAGCATCATCTCTCTATCCTTCAATGACTTCTGCCCACTCACATTTGAAGGTGAAGAATTGACATTATCACACTGGTTGCTAGGTATACTAGCAGTTGATATCTTTGGTATCACTTCCACAGGGAAAGTGTCTTCAATAGCATACTGCACTTCAGTAATGACTTGTGTTTGTTGTTTCATCTCCTCAATGTCATGCCTTAGTCTAGCTACTTCGGTCTTAAGTTCAGCATTTTCAGCATCGCGCTTTGCATTCTCCTCAATAATCTGCCTCAACTTCGCATTCTCAGCCTCAACCTCAGCAAACTTTAGTAACTTCTCTCTAAGTTCGGGAATCTCAGTATTCTCCTTCCTAAGCTCTGCAATCTCAGCTAAGAGCTTGGAATTTAATTTTCTCAATGAATCAATGGATTGCATGTTCGATAATATTTTTTATGTAAAACGGAATAATTCAAAAGTTCGTTAGCATAGATAAAAAAACTGTGACAAAATGTCACGATCGGAATTACATGATTTATTGATATAGAAAATAAAATTACATGACTCGATGATACATAGACTTGTTTTACAAAGTGAAACGGTGTTTCTATACTAATGCCTGCCGGTGATCTAAGCTATCTAAGCTATCTATATACTAACATATCCCAACATTAACTCTAATCCGATTTCATTTGTCTCAACGTCGATATTCTGGATAGAATAAAATGGTCGTTAGGTCAGAAATAAATTAACAATATTGACCTTAGTAAAACTCTCCGAAAGTTCATGTTCTCCGCCTAATAAGATTCTCTGAATTCTGAACAAAAAAATAGATATTAGCTTTCACTTCCTTGCAAATGCACGAAATATTCATACCTGAATTGCGTAATGTCTCCTCCGGAGCTTCAACAATTCTTTCGTCAACACTTCTTTCAAACTGCGATACGTCCAGTTCTTTTAAACCGGAGAAAAAGCTTGGTAATGCGCTTTTACTTTTTTAAATCGTTCTGTTGCACGAACAACTAAATTAGTCAAATAAGGAACAAGTTCGAAAATTTTATATAAATATCCGGATTGTTTGCCCTGATGAAAAAGTTTTCGTCTTTATTCGTAATAAAAATTTGCGCAAAATGCTGATTGATCGGCCATGAATTACCGTCTGGTTATTTAAGGCAATAAAGAATAATATTGCTATCATATTTCGTCGTCATGTGTTACCGATTACAAAATAATATGTCAAATCGTGTTCATCATGGAAAAAAAAAGGTATGTGACGTATCGTATACTCGTATGACTCAAAATTATCAATTGAATTTTTAGATATATAAATGTCGCATCCTCAATAACTCTTTTTCAAAAACTTATTCTTTATTCTAATTTTGTTCAAAGATATATCGTCGAAATGTCATTATTTTTTGTCCCTTTAACTTCTCCTCTTCTTGATCCTATTCCGATTAACATTTCCGAAACAATCACAATTAATGACCAAGAAAAGCCTAAAGATAATCTCACCATTGGAGATCTCAAGATTATTATATGGGGTATTATAGGGGACAATAGCAATAGCAAAGACTTTTTTAAATTGAAGTTATGGAAGGTGGATCTTGAGGAAGGAAAAGGAAAATGGAAAGAACTTGAAACACTTGCAAAGTCTTCTTATACCGAAGCTGAAATAGAAAATTTCGGAGGTATAAAGTTATTAACAACCAGTAAAGTTGTAGAAGTTTTTGGTAATGTTTCAAGTAACAAAGTCCGCATCATCGTTCAAATGCCACCTTCGCCCGCCACCACTGGTAAGTGTCTCCCAATGGTTTACCGTACCTCTCGAACAAGAAATTCGCGTTATCTCACATTCTATTTTTTTTCGGTTAGGGAAAAGGAAAGCGGAAGAGGGCAGGGAAAGTGGAAACCGAAAGAAGGAGAAGCCTGAATATCCTGCAGAGTCAAAAGAAGGTCGTGACAGTCTTTTAGCTATTCATGAAAGACTGAATAAGATAATTGACTTCGTAGAAGGAAATCGCGTTAGTCTTTTGCGCAGTCCTCCATCATCGGGTAAAAGCACTCTCGGTCAGACACTCCGAGATCATTTCCAAGCCAATTGTTTTTCCATATATATTAGTCTTGCCGGATTAAGTAATAAAGCATGTAAAGATGAAGAACTTTTTGACAAATTCTGGGAAAAAGAAGTGGGCTATACCTGGACAAACATTATTGAAAAAGAACCCGCTTACATATTCATTGACGAAATACAAATAATCTATGGTGAATGTGCTCAACACTTTTGGGGTAGCATAAAGACGATGATGTCAAGCGAATGCACTAAAAATATTCATATTCTTCTTATCGGTACATTTGACCCAACTCTTGGGGTAGCGTTAACACCCGTGAAATTTGGTGATAGTCATTCACTTAGTTTGAAAGACCTACTTTTAACAAGGAATGAGCTTAAGAATCTTGTAATGAATTATTCTCAGATTCGTGCTATCAGTGGTAGCCCAAAGTTTAAAATTCCTGAGGTAATTGAGAATGCAATCTTTAGGCTTACTAATGGACATGCTGGTCTGTGTCGAATAATTTTGGATTCATTACACAACCATTTCAAAAATGGACCCTTAGCTTTGGAAATGTTACGTCATCTTGCGTCAACAAATCTAAAAAATTATTTATATTCAGAGTCACGTGCTTTATGTTGGATCGCTAACTGGGATATGAGTGCTAATGATAGTGAATTAATTCGAGATATGATATATACCACTCGAAATGGAATCACCTCTAATTTTGAATTTGAAAATCCTATCATCAAGAATTTTCTTAAGATAGGTCTTCTCGTAAAGGATGTGAATTCTACACAACCAAAATTCACTGCTCCCATTTTGCTAATAATTCTAAGTCACCATATGATCGATTCTAATTTAAAAAGTTTACAAAGAGACCCTACAAGTCAAGACTTTAATGAGTTCTTAATTCGAAGTATTGAGCGTATGAGTCAACATATACTGTTGGAATCATATGGAAGGGGTGTTAATTCACGCTTATATGAAGCAGGATGGCAGAATGAATGGTACAGATCAGCAGTCTCTGTAGTCCCAATTGGAACATCAATAAGTGCCAATGTAGGTTATGTGTTTGGTTCAGATGGTTATCTGGACTATTATGTTAACGGAGAAATTTGCTGGGGAATTGAGCTCACACGCGAGGGTAACCGTTTGGCTGAGCATGCAAACCGATTTTACGAAAATGGAAAGTATAAAAATATTCCATTGAAAGAATGGATTATTCTCGACTTCCGACATAATTCTAAAACAATAAATGAATTAAAACAAAACTTCTGGTACATTCTCTACTCAGATGATTATTCATCTGTAACCATCAAACGTTATGGGTATGAAGATAAAATTTGTTATCTGCAAAAATGATGCAGTTTTAGTATTAAAAAATTTTTTTTGGATTTTATGCGAACATATACTTAATTTTGTAGATTAGCCAGTTAGTTACATAGCATTTTTATTACTAATAAAGCGAAAATTTTATTCTTTATTATTTTGTAATTGAAAAAAAGAGACTGGCCAATTAGATGAAGTGAATATAATAAAAATTGGAGTGGCGAGTTGTTCTCGCGATACTGATGTCTAATGTTACTGCGCATTTATTTATCAGAATTCATTCGAGATAATTACACTCCTTTTTACATGTATTATTTCATCATGCGTCATAGATGTAACCGTGAAGAATCTTCGCGATCATAAAATCACGTGAGATTTCGGAGGGAATTCACCTGAACGCTCTTTTATCAAAATTTTATTGCAATTTTTTTTTTGACAGCGGATTTGACCTTTATATGATTGCAAGTCAAGATCACAGTAGTTATGAAATACCTCATCAGTGTCGTGTAAAAAATTTTTATTAATACATGCGAAAATAAATACAAAGGTTCGGGACGTAGCCTGCGATACATGACGAATTTTCTATGCTAAAACCTATTTATCTGACTTTCCGGTAAGGTTGCTCGATGACCTATGCTTTTTTATTACCCTTTCTTCACTCTGAGAATCAGAATCCGGCTTCTGTGCCTCCTCCAATAACCATGCAATATGCCCAAAAACTCTTTCAACATTACCTTCTGTACTCTCGGTGCCATACACAGCTACTACCGGCTTTGATAGCTTGAACGATGGCTTCCCCTCATTATCTAGCGAACATTCCATAAAATACCACTTTTCCGCATCTGTGATGATCCCAAAAGTCTTCCCAGTAAAAACATCTCCTTCTTCCATCTTCACTTGCTTTACGCTTGCGGTTTGACAAAGCTGATTCAAGTTGAACAGCATTCTGAGCAATGCCCTTATAAAAATCTTCGTCCTTTACCTCTGTCACGCCAACAGTTTTTGCGGATTGGAATAAATCTATTGCGAAATCAACTGGTCCGTGCCCATTAGGCCCTGTGATATTTTTTTCTGGTCGAAGCTCGAACTTCCCTTCGTATAGATTTGCTTCAGCAACAAGGTAAGAACATACGTATTGTGATTTTGATGCTTCATTTCCGCTGATTGGAATGGACTTGAGACGAGCATTTAGTTCGGCTATAAGATGTTTAAGTATCGCCTGGGAAGAATCATCTTCCAGATCTTTGATTCCGCAAGTGAAAGGCGGAAAGACAGATAATGAAGGATCCTCTGATTCACAGAGTTCGTAAAGCTGGCACATTTTTGGGAAAGTCCAATCTGAGAAAGCTTTTGAGGGTGTTTTTATGAATACGGTAAACTTGGGATTGTTCTTTGATATGAATATGCAGAGCATCTCACGAAGGTCTTGATCATTTTGAGGGAAATATTTCTCTCCATCATTCATTAAGTTGAGTTCCGCCCCATCATTTTCAAGTGCTGGTGGATGATACATCTTACGTATATAACCTTTGAGACCTTCGAGAGTCACATGTTCGATATTTGCAGTCCACTTATTTAGTTTCCGTTTTAGTGAACAACGACGTCGAAGTCTATATTGTGAAGAAGATTAGAAAAGATATTATGAAACCTCCTGACCTTTCCCATTATTTAGTCGTACCATGTGTGGACTTGTTAAGTAATGCCTGCAACAAGGCGAGTTTCTCCCTTAATTCCAATACCTCTTGGCTCGAAGTGGCAGTAGTCTTTGGCGGAGAGACTAAGACATTAATATGTTCCTCAGGAGGTGAGTCTTCAAAGTATTTCGAAATCTTTCTTATTGCCAACAGCTCGTCACTGTCCTGGAGTATTAGATTTCTTAATTGATCGTTGCGATCACTAGAGATCGTTACCTTCCATAGCTTAATGTCTTTGGCGTTAACGTTGGCGAAGGTTTGAGCATTTTTCTCCTTAATAACCTCCTTGAGCTTGCTAATAGACTTGTCCTTCTCAATATCAACCTCGAAGGCGTTCGCAGTTGTATTTCCTTTAACGAGACAGAATAAAGTGATAGACATGTTTTGGGCTTATATAGTATTTTTTGCGAAATATTATTGGTGCAAACTAGCGTATGTGAGGACAAGAATAAAAAAGAATTTTATTTGCTAAAAAAATACTAAGCAGACTATATGACTATATGTGAGAAATTATTCTGTTTCACAAGCCTGCCGTGTGATCAGCCACATTGCATTATCACTGCGTTCACCAACTGTGAAGACTCTCCTCACTTATCACCTGACGTTTTTTATATCAGATAAAATGCTAAATTTATAGTCCCAGCATCATCATACGTGACCCGTTTCTCATATACGTTCGATAAAATAATACTTTATTTATGAAATAAAAAAAAATTGCCGGAATCCGGCCTACAATACATAAAATTTGTGAATATATCGCTACATGATTAGAATAAAAATACTAATTATTAGGGGTGTATGAGAACATGAACTTGCTTAGTGTCAGGGGACTCAGAGAAATATTTTCTAATCTCAGTACTCGGTTTCATATGTTCTTTTACATCTTTACCAAAATCATTCCTGTAGAGATCAAAATTGTTGTAAGTAACACGCCTACCAGTTACAAGCACATTCTTAAGGTCATCGACAGTTTGTGTTATTTGAGTATTAATAGTGAGTAAAAAATCATTACTGCCATCATCATCTTTAAAGCAAAAATTGAGGATAATGTTATTTGCCATTTCCTATACTAATACACACAGAGAAACGTAGTCAGTAAAAGTGCATAGAAAGAAGACCATTTTCCAAGTCATTTATACCAAATACATTATACATACCTTATTTTGCGTTATTTTCTCTGGGAAAGTTTTTTTGCAGGAAGTTGACTGAACTTCCACATACACCTACATGCTTTATATCTTACTGGGAAAGAGTTAAGGAGGTATGAAGTGTAATTAGATGACAAGAGCTCTATGGCCGAAAGCGCTAAAGCACATGCAAAAGGGATCTTCATACCTTTTCACATGTAGATCTACCTTGCAAGATATATAGTTAGTTTTACGCCTGGCGATCTCAAAATTTCAAAGTCCTCAGCCTTTCATAACATATGCTTTTGTCATCACTATTAACTTATAGGATAGGTACTGTGTTGCATATAGATCTTCTTTCACATTTTCTCATATTTGTTTGGGAAAAAAATTAGAGGTATTGGTTAGTATATATAACTTCTTTCGATATGCAAAAATTAATATGTTACATGAAACCTAACTGGTGATCCACTTTTTCTATCACACAAGAGTACATGTATTATAGATCAGCAAATTCTTGATCACTGCTCTGGACTAGTCCGAGTATCTTAAACGGAGAGGGCCATTATTACTATAGACATATTCATCCTCTGATTTGGTTTCAGAGCTGGATGATTCCGTTTCAGTATACTCTGAATCATAATACTCACTTATATCGTCGAATTCACGATCATGTTTGATAAACTTAGTTATTATGACCTTCCCATCTGAATTAATTGCGATGAAATTAGGGAATAATAATTCGTAAAATGTATATAACAAAGGAGATAGTATATCAATATTATTTCTTAGATAATAAAGTCTTTTCTCTTCATTATTTTTCCAATATCTAGCATCCCGTTTATCAATTTTATCTCCCATTCAAATTAGCCAATTATTACCTAAAACTAAATCATATTCAGGCTTGTCAACAATTACAAAATTTTCTGTATCTGTTATTACTAGAGGTAGCGATTTTAATCCATAGAATATATTTGGTAAAGAAACGGAAACTTCTTCTCTACTAACCCATCCTCTTACCATCACTTTCTTGCCAGCATTTGTTGCGCTAATGCTAAGCTCTTTTACTGCAGGATATTCTGATCTGAATTCTCTAGTAATATATAAACCAATTTTTTGGGCAAGCGCCTTACTAATACTGCTATAGTAAAATTTGGGATCAATTAATGCCTTAACAGTTACTTTTTCATCGACAAATGTACAGTCCACTATTAATCTTCTACGAATTTCTTAAATCACTTCATCTTTTCATATTTTATTTATACTGCAACATTTTTTAAGATCCTGTATCGATAGATTCTTTAGAATAAAGGGTATTAATTCAAGTGCAAGCCGATCAAGCAAATTAACTGTATACATTTTATATGATTAGAAAAATTTTCAATTGGGAAAAAATAGAGATAGTTGGTATATATGTTTTCTTTTTCGAATATATATGCAAAAATTATTATGTCACACAGACCTATTATGTGATCGGCCTATTTTTATCGCACATGAGTACATGCATTGTGGCCTAGCAAATTCTTCTGAGCTGAAGATTACTGCTTTGGATTACCTTTACTCGGGTTAGTTATCCAATGTATGCCTCTCAATAAGTATTGTATCCTATTCAGATTAGCAATACCAGACTGACTAATATAATCTTTAAATCCAGTTATAATACTAGTCACTGACTCTTTTTCTGCTTGAATAAGCATTTCTACTAATTCATGATAATAATCATTTTTTGCAATACATCTCATATTTTCTCGTATTAATCCACTATAGAATTCACTTCTAAAATGACCTTTACAGAGTTTGACAATATTATTACATTTTTTTGCCTTTAAACAGTAATCCACTATTGATTCTTCACCTTGAATAAGCAATCTACATCGGGGTTTCTCAATACCCACTAGCCATATTTCCCATCGAAGTTTATGCGGATAATATGGCAATTCTATCAGACTCAAAATATGTGGAAGATAGAAAGCATCGGAATGTATAAATACATGGAATAATGATAATGGATTTCTTACATTGGGCAGACTATGTACAAATTGCTTAAGTGCTTTCTCTTTCCAATGCCTAACTGCCTTTGTGTTTCAATAGATTTTGATTTCGCAAAAAAGATCATCCCATCCTTTCCACTCTGGTATAAATCCAGGATTCCCTTCATTATCCCATTCATATTTCGATCCATATTCTTTGATAAATTCATCGTAGCCTTCTTTTATCTCGGTATCTATCTCGTCATCTGACATTTTGCTAATAGAGCAATTATACTTAATAAAAAAATAAAGTACTGGTTAACATGCATAGCTTTTTTTCTGTATGTGAAAATTAATATGTCACACAGACTTGCCTTGTGATCTGCTTATCTTTATCACACAATCTAGCTGAAGGCGTTGTGCATGGCTCAGCAATTTCTTCTGAGCTGACAATCACTCCTCCGGACTGGCTGGCTTAGAATAATCATCTTTTTACGCAAATTCTAGCTCTCGTGCCAATCTATCTAATGTCAATTTAAGACCAATTATATAGACTTCTTGTCGAAGTTTAGGCGCAACCCCTGCAAAAAATACTTTTTTAATATTGTTATTCACATCTTCTATAATATCATCTGAACCTTCCATATTATGCAAATTGCTAGTAAACCCCATACTTTATTATAAGAGCCTATATCCTTAATTGAAAAAATAATATTAATGTATGCATAGTGACTTCCCTACCCACTTGCTCATATGCCAGAAAAAAATATATAATATTCATGTTAATGCTGTAACTTGTCTTCCCTATATATTCATCATTCACTAGTCTAGCTTATAAAAAAGCTTTGCCGGAAGACAATTAGATTAACATTGCTCTGAGCATTTGTTCTATTTCATCATCTGATCTTTCGCGATTCTCCTCTTTAGCTATATGATAATAAAGCTCATATAATTCCTTTAGGCTGGCACAAAGATTATTATCTGCATATCTTTTGCGATAATTTTCTAGCCTTAGAGTGTATGCCTCTTCGTTAGGAAACATCTTGACTGCGACTGTCTTAATATAATCATTTGGATTCTTTTCAACTCGCAATTTCTTTAGATAGTCTCCATAGTTTTTTGCAAAATTATCATATTTTTTGCCTTTTGTAATGCAGTTTTTATGACTTTGACTTGCGCAAGTTCTATATCCTTATGATTAACCATTTTTGTAATGTTTCTACTATAACGATAGAAAAACTTTAATTAATGAAAATATATTCTTTAGAATTTTTTATCTGAAAAAATATTTGTTATAAAACATCTATGTTTTGACATAAAGTTTAGCTTTTATAGCCCTTTCTTCTGCTTTCTCAGGAGATATTTCAGATGCTATCAGGCGTTTATATAGTCCAATTCGCCAATGTCTATAGGGAGAGTTTGAATTCTATCAAGTAAGATCTAACGCTTGTTATCATATGGATTCAACCCTATCTTATTTACCCTTTCCAGATATATTTGATGATTATAACTGCGTAGACTATACATATCATGCTGAGTTAGTTTCTTGTTCCTAAGATATTCTAGAAACTTATCATGTCAAAGCTCCCTTTTGATCATGCATTTCTTTACACCCTTTAACTTCTGAATGCCATGCTTTTTCTCCCATTTCTTTTCATTCTGTGACTTTCTATATTCTTTCTCTTCTAACTCTTTTTCAAAATCTGCATCCATTTTAGGAGTTTTAGGATCATGACCTGCTAGAAGAACTGAATACATTTTTGGCTTTAAGCATACTGATTCACCTATTGGATCACCTTTTGTCTCATCCTTCATTAAAAACAAGTCTCCTGAATAGTTAAGATTGAAAATATCTAATCTTTCTGCTCAATCTTTATAGATATCTTCAGTTTCTATCCACATGATAAGTGAATCTGTATTTGTATAAAGTAGACAGACCTTTTTTTCATAGCGAGGCTTTATGTAACTATACCAAAAGTTAAACATCATGGCCTTGCTAATATCGAGAATTGCCTGTCTTACATAAATTGATTTGTTTAAAGTTACTGTGCTCTTTAACATGTGGACTACTGTAATTCCTCCTTCAAATGCTTTAAAGCCTACAAATAATAGTGAACTTACTAGACGCCTGATTTTTTTATCTTCTTCTGTTCAGAGTAATTCTACTCTCATATAGGTTGATTGCTAGGAAAATCAGATTCTGAGAATTTTTTAACAAAATTAAGATTTTTATTGCATTTTAGTTTTTGATGTTGTTAGATTAAAATATATTAAGCTCTTAATTTAAGTTAACTTCTCAGAACCTGATTTTCCTAGAAACCCTCCCATATATTTACAGACATTCTCCATCTGTTTGCCAAAGACTGCATTATTTTTTAACTTATAGTATATAATTCTAAATTCATCCCTAGTGGCCTTAGCTATTTTGCGTTTACGAATATTTTTCTCAATATATTCTTTCATCCATGAAAACTGCCAGAATTTTAATCCTTCATGAATCTTTATAACTTTCATTTCCATTTTTATGTATAACTGAAGTACACAATAATAGATCACATAGTTCTTTTTAGGATAAAGGGTTTGGACAAGCTTTTCTCCTGTTATATATTTTCCACCCTTAACTTCTTTATTGTGTACTAATCTTTAATTATACAAGCTAAGCCATTCTTCTGGAACTATCTGCTTTTCTGATGCTAAAGGATAATCTGCAAAGAAATCATGCAAGTGCACTGAAACTTCTAGATCAACTTCTAATATATATTCTATTTCAGCATCTGATGCAATGTTTTGTATGTCCGAAACCTGTTCTAGACTTACTTTTCCCAATATTTCTGTAGGCATATATTGGGTCATCGCACCTGAATATAAAGCATTCATATCATCATATAAGATCCAAGATGTTAGTTTGCCTGGATTGTAATCAGGACATTTAGGATTATTAGCTTTGGTATAATGGTGACTTGCCATTGTTATGCCTTCACAAATGCCCTTCTTAACCATCAAGTACTCGTCCATATCTGTCATTAGCTTAAGTTCAGCTCTACTACTTTTGTATAAGGAATCATTAAACATGTAGATACGTAATGAGAGAGATCTAAACCATCATCATTCAAATATATGATAGTGTAGTTCATGAAAATATCCACAAGTAAAAATACGTCAGTTTCAAGATATAAGTTATGATATTCTCTAAAATTCTTCATCTCAAATTCCTGACATACCTTTTGAGTATGTTCATAATTCTCTTTACTAATATTTTGCTGGCTAAGAAGCAAATAGAAACCCTTTCTAGGTAAAAGGCTTGTTCTGTTGAATTTTTCCCATGCATTTGTTCAGTCGTATAGGAAAATGCCCTTATAAAAAAGAAGCTTAATCTTATCTATTGAATAGCCTTTCTTAGTAAAGTATCTAACAGCTAGGGGAAATTTTTCAAGCTTTTCTTCTAAACATTCTACTAATTTATCTAATCCTATATTTTCTGGGATGCAATTTAGCTTATCAGCTGTGAACTTGCTCACAACTTTTATAAGCAGATGAGAGTCATATCCCAGAAATTATGACATATAAGAGGCACTTTAGTTTTAAAAAAGTCTATTCGCAATTTTTTGTTATAAGAGTCATGAGCTGGGCCTCGGTACTTTCCATTTATATGATTATGATCTTTTACTTTTTGATTAAGTACACTTAAAGCTTCTCAGTATCTTTTTTATGCCTTTTTCTTTTTAGGATGTTCTTTTTCCATGCATGTTTCCCATTCTTTGATTTCTAATAAATTATGCTTTTCTTCTTCGAGTTTTTGTAATATCTCTGGTATTAGTTTTAAAAAAGATCTCTTGTAAATCCAGCATTCTGTCGCCTCATTGTATGCTTTAAGATCTCCTAGTGCCATTATCATTTCTGCAGGCGCAGATAAGTCCTCCTGTATATTTGCTAGCTCCTTCTCAATTTTGTAACGAATTTTTCAAGCGCATCTAAACCCTATATAAATCTTGACTTATGATTTCATAGTTGAGTAAACTATCTATACGAACAACTACATAGTAATAGCCACATGACTTGTGCATCTGTAATCTTTCAGTATAGGTTAATTTCATCTTCTCTTTAAGGATTAACTTTTCGGTTAACATTTCTAGATCCCAGAAAATACGATATGAATTTGGTTGCATGTATTTATGGTTATAAGAAGCTTTGATACTCCTATTCTTAACTGGCATTTATGGTCGCTAAGAGGTATTATTTAGATCCTTGCATTTTGGCGAATGTTCATTATATCTTATCTCTGAAGAGTATACATAAAAACAATAACGACAAATGTATTTTCGCCCTTTATGTTTGCTATAATTATATACTAGCTTATATAAATCTTTGATAATACAGTAGTGACTTCATTCTTCTTCTGTAATTACTAGAAGATTTACTTGCTTATATTCATCCTCTCTTCTTTCTGAAACATAGCGAAAGTCAAGATATTTGTTTTAGTTGTGCCATTCATAGACACATAAACTGATTTCAGAATTATTTTCTTCAAACTTTTTATAAACTGGTGTTGAGACTGGTACTAGAACTGAAATATCATCCATATTAAGCTCCTCCACAAAATCTCTATATAGCCAATGCAGATTTCTTTTTGGATGAACTTTAACTGGATGCAAAGCTCTTAGGATACACCATCTGAAACACCAAACATCATTATTTTGAATATTAATAATTCCATTATTACGTTTTGGCAAAGTTTCTGGTAAAGATATATAGGCAGTAGGACCAATCAGATTAAAATCAGCTATCTCTATACTAAATTCTTTTATATATTCTGGATAAGCATTAGACATTTGGTATATTAGTTAGCTCTAACCATCGTGCTATTACTTGCTTATATAATTTTTTCTTTAATTATTTATTTCCTATATACCTATTCCAGGAGGAACAGTTTTCAGCTACACAAAATTTTCAAATCTGGTAAGGAGACGATGCATCGGTCAACCAATCAAAATTGCAATTTTTATAATGAAATCACATGATTTAGAAATCCATAATATTAGAAATTTTAATTAATCAAGAAATTGAATCTTTTAAGATATTTATTTAATTAACTATTTGAATGGTGATCATAATAATGTAATAATAAAATATTAAAATGTGATTTAAAAAATGTATAATATATAAAAATTTTATAAATTTATAAATAATTCTTTTGCGTGTTCTAACAAATTTTCTACTTTTATATTATTTTTCGCTTTATCTATATCATTCAAATCTCCTTTGATTGCATCTTTTCCAATATCTTCTTCAACAGATTCTTGTTCACCCGATTTCTTTGTAAAACTGGTTATTAGAGCATTGACATTTTTCTTGACCTCGTCTTGAAGATACCCTAAACATATCAAACATTTAAATTGGCATCTTTGTAGACAATGCTTATGGTAACCATGCTCACATGCGAAAATAATACTATCAATCAAATAGCCATTATATTCACAATACAAATAATCACAAAGAATGGTGGTATTTAGTTTTTTAGAAGTAACGAAACCCTGCGAAAGGTGACGATCGGTCACATCATAACCTAAAGAAGGCAATTTATATATATTAATACTATTGGATGATGATTTAATAACTGAAGAATATATATAACGCACTTGGTAAATTTTCGTAAAGATATTCAAAAGTTATATAGTACACTTCTGAAAAAGATTATTTAATTACTTTAGCATATATGGATATTTAACGGCATTTATAAAATATTGCCTAAATTC